GTCAAGCATCCCGCCATTTGGTACCCCGTCGTGTCACTTTCGTGCACGATAACTAGCTAGCTTAGCTTCCGCTTCAATCCGCGATTTGGTTCCGAAATATATATCTCGTAATTTGGACAATCGATTGTGGTCTTTTGCTTTGCCTTTGGTACACGAGAATCAAATAAAATAGAAGTTGTTGGTATAAGATCTTGCGTTAATATACTCAGTACTGTTCGTGAACGTCTATACCGTCAACCCTAAAAGTGTCTTTTTTTGCACTAAAGTGTATTCTCCTCTTTTTGGCCTTGGTTCCATGTTCTTCTCCACGAAACGCGGTGGGTATCCATTTTGATCCAGGATTAATTTTGCATACGTTGTAACTGTCTTCTAATCATATGCAATCTTGTTTCTAAGCCCCTTGTAATCTGTATTCGTAGGCTGGACTTATTTGTCACGTACTCTAGAAGTTACGTTTGGAATTTTTTTGCCAATAATTTTTAATAAAATTGTATTATATGTTATCTAGATTCGTATTCGTACCTTCAAACTTTCATATCAACATTGACCGCGCGAACTTTAAAATTGTGTAATGTCAAGCTTCAAGGTCATGGTGGGCCCATGGGTCGACTGGTTATATGTCTTCGTGAATTCGCTTGCCATTGAAATTTAAAGGTTTTTATTCGACGTTTCTCACATTTTATAGTGTTGATGTCGATTTTTGTCACTGAATGCTACTATGAAGCTTATTTTTGGTCTCGAATTCACAGTTATTAAGTTGATAGTTAACGATTATGGTAGACATGCAATCATTGGGCTAAGTTATGTATACTACGCCTAGATCGTAAGGTATCCATAGCACAAAATGAAATCTAATTGCAGTCTCTTAAGCTAACTATAATGCTGAATTAAATCTTGCTAATTCTGGACTATTTCTAACATTCTATAATGAGTGAAATCTACAACTGTTCTGGAATTGTTTGATTATTTGCAAAAACTGGAACTGCAGTGTGTGTGCTGGTTTGTCAGCATGACTGGCACTAGTTCTTAATTTCTAGATTGTTCAAGTGTTTTTCGCACATATTAACTGCTACTTCGATACTCAGCAGACAACACAAACAGCATTTATTTAATAGATTTTAGGGGTATTGTGCTCCAGGCTGCTTCAAAGCCATTTAGAAAATTCTAGGTAATCTGTTTTGGTGAATTCGTCAGTGAATTGTACTTGTCGTTGTGCCTATTAAATGGAATTTTCCATGGAGTCATTTTTCTGTTACCGCGACAATTTGTTTTGTGGAGCAATTTTGTCCATATGGTCGTTTTCTAGTTTGTCTTGAATCTCCAGTCTCTTTCAGATATCAATAACATAGAGGCTGCCAGGTGATTCCTTAGCAATTTCGTAATGAGGCCACACCCATGTCTGCTGTTCAAATACACTGCTACGCAAAAGTGATAATCTTAAAGATTAAGATTTTATCTCGTTCTTAGAGCGCCCGTTAGTAAAGTGTGTTTGTGGTGGGAGGTGTGTGAAAAATATGGGAAGTTTTTATCGGTTAAGATGTTCACGAAAAGTGAGTAAAATAAAGCAAAAAACAGCTAATTTTCCCAATACGCCCACTTTCCCCGCGCCTCAATCACAATATTCATTAAGCGCTGTCCCGCTTTACCCCTGTTATTTACCTATTCTATTCAATTTACCCACGTTTTCAACAAACGAATTTCCCACTTTCAATGTGTGATTCAGAAGATTTGGCCGTTTTATTCCCCAGAATAGTCTACTTCTCTCCGTTTCACCCAGATTTGAACAGAAAACCGCCCATGTTTTTCTCTCTTTACCCATGTTCACGAAAAATATTTTCCTAGTGAGTAGGTGTCATTATAGTATTAACTCGGCTGAGTTTGACACAACAGACGTCATAAAGGAACCTTCGTAACACTTCAGCAAACTATTATCCGCCTCAACACACTTTCACGCATTTGAACTTTCAAGCTAATACGTTGATTTTAGCATTCACCTTTCGTCGAAACTTCCAAAGCACTAAAATTAAGTGGTGACTAAAATACATTGATCAGAGCCACTCAAAAATACAGTTCGTTTAGTAAACCGTTGCGTTTTATTTACCCACTTATTCAACCAATATTGTTTTATCCCACCCTTCGTTGTCTTAATTTTGGACCAGTAAATTGCATACATTATTATACTTAGTATCGTATCTTCCATCTTTCACTGCTCTTCATTCGGCTTCTTTTCTGTATAGTGCTACTGTGACTTCGTAATAATGGTAAAATAACACTGACTCTGTAGCATAGACTGGCTACTATCTGCGTATGGTGTTTCGTGGAATCTGCGGGACACATCGATTTGTCTGTTAACTTCCAAAGTTGATGTTTCACTTCTTTTAAATGCTTTCTTAACGAGAGTCAAGTATCCGCTATCAAAGATTGGTTGTACTCTTGCATCAACTTAGTTAGCTTCATACTATATTTTCGGCATGATTAAACCAGAAAAACTACGTCGAGACGCTGTATACCTCTTCTGGTGTCAGGTTTTGTTGAAACGATTAAAAAGTTCCTTAAATTATTGTAACCAATATGCTTGGTCATATATCTTTATTGTCGTCATCATTGATGTTTTAACTTAATTACTCGGGATAAACCTTTCGTATTCTAGTTAAAGAACCACGAAATCATGAGGGCTGATGCTACTCAGTTGCCCGAAATAAAGTAGGCGAAACAGGACTGGAGCTCGTGGTTCATGGGATGAAAGTGAGAGCTTAAGCCGATGAGCCACGCCTTCGTGGTTGTCATCATTACCATTATCATCATTACGTCGTGTTTCCAAACAAAAAATGTTTTTATGCTTTTCTACCTAGTTGATATTTCCTTGGGAGATCTCTGTAGATAACTAGGGCAAGTAATCTAAAGTATATCTGGATAAAGTCAGCATATTTTTCCCCTTTCATCTTCTGACCTTCTTGGCATGTCTAAACCAAGAACTACTATATTTGCGTGGTTGTTAAGTATAGTTGCTGAATTAATTCAACCTAGTCATAACACCTGGAAGATATGTTTCACCAATATTGTACGTTGAATCACCTAATAGGGGTTCAGTTCGTATCACTTCCTGTCTACACATCAAGTAGAGAGAACGAAACGGAGGACAGGAATAAGTACCATATATTTAATTCTTACGGAAACCTATAAGACAAAGACCTAAGACAGGTTAAAGTAAAGAAATGTAATATTTTAGGTACAGCGAAGATGAGGTTTATGTGCACTCTGATCACCTTGGTTGAACCTCAGATTTCATTTAGTTCTGAGCGGCACGTGGACCACAGCAAATACACCTTCACTTTTGTGTGCAGCTGACGTCAATAGTCATAAGTTAGTACCGTTTTCATAATTTTGTCTGGTTAATTACTTCTTCCTATTATATGACCTTAGTTTTCAACTGTTGGGAATAAGGTCTTTAAAACCTCTATAAAAATGCTGAGATTTGCTTTTAGTGGACAATATTTATGGTTACATCTAAGATAAACGTAGTTTGGTTCTCCTGCTTCACAGTAGTGCTCCACAGTTGTATAACATGTAGATTTCAGCTTACCTAAGTAGTCTCAGTGATTTTTATATTCCATTACTGAATAAACCAATTTTAGAAAACCACACATCAGGTTAGGTAAAATCAAAGCAAAAATATTGATACTGGTTGTAGTGACCAGACTTGCTTAGGATGAGATAATCTGGCTGTGTTATACATATTAAACTATTATCCGCCTCAACACACTTTCGTAACTGGAGGTAGTAGTAATCATGTTGAGATTGCGTAATTTTACTAAGTCATGGAGTACAAGTCTGTATCATATAAGGAAGTTTAACCTGTTTGTACAGCGCCTTTCAAGGGATTGAAATCATGCTTAGTGATACAGCCGGTGGAAAATCTTGAACATTTCACATATTTGTTTCCTCTTTTCTAATTTCTTTTATCTGTTGAGATGTTTTAGGTTTTGATTTTTTTATGTGTTGATTTTCAATGTTCCATCTTGAACCTGTATAGTTTCACTTGCATTATTGCTTTTTAACTTGTGATTGTATTTGTCAGATTATATAGTTATTTTTTCAAGAATTTCTATTGCCGTTTCGAAGCTGATTAGCATTGGATTTCCTTCCTAATAAGACTATTTATGTACCTACACTGGACTCAGCTAGCTTTGTGTACCTCCTCACGTATTGACAAATGCATCCTCGAAGTTCCCACTTAGAAATTCTCATCCAACGAGGTGCAATCCATTTAAAACATTTCTTACGGCCTAGAAATGCAGCCCGTGTTGGAATCTTTAGATTAAGTTTAAAGATGCTGTTTTTATTGTAGTTTTTTCCATTGTTGTACCATCCTGTTGGTAAACACTGTTTCGCCTATATGACAAGTTGAACTTATTGTTTTCCGTTTGTATTGCTTTGGTAATCTGTATTTTGTGTAACATGGATCCACCTATCCGTGGAAATTTTCACCTCTGTATTGAATTTCTTATTTATAAATGTATGTGCAATTTGCCATATCCATTAAATCCCCATAGTCCACGTAATTATTTTTTTCTCCCGTACATTTCCATTCATTATAGTTCCTTAGGATTCTTGTTTTTCTCTACCTTTGTATGCTGTATGGAGTATGGTACTTTAAATTGCTGCTCCTGTGTACAAAGTTGCAAGTTAAAAACTCAGTTATTCGGGAGTTCCTGTTCATGAATCATGTCATATTTGTTATTAGACATTCTTCATTAGTCTCTACTGCCTTACTTTTCATAAACAATTTTTTTATTTTCTTATTTTCCAGATTATCCAGTAGGATTCGCCTATCGTTGTCGGTAAATTTTATGTTTATCCTTCACAGCATCGTCTTGGAAGCTGTTTTAAACTGAGCATAGTTATAGTATCGGCAAGAGTACTGCGAGGAAACAAAAGCTGAAACATTCCTACACCGAGATTATCACGTCTACTTGCAGTCTGACTACTGATTTTGAATTATGAGTAGCATATACGTTACTGAGCCTGCAACAAATGGAAAGGTTATCCTAAAGACTACAGTTGGGGAAATAGAGATAGAATTGTGGTCCAAAGAAGCCCCAAAAGCGTGCAGAAACTTTGTCCAGTTATGTATGGAGGGTTACTACAATGATACATCGTTTCATCGGTTAGTACGTGGTTTCATTGTTCAGGGTGGAGATCCAACAGGCACTGGGGAAGGCGGAGAAAGTATTTATGGACAGCCTTTCAAAGTTAGTGTGTTTGTTTTCCGTTCTGTTTGTACAGTCATACAGGGAATTTGCTCTCTCTCAAAATGTTATATATGTATATATTTATGTATATCATCACTATTCCCAACCAACACTGGGGCTAGACAGGGTTCCCCAATATCTCCACTTCTCTTTAACTTAGCCATCAGTGGCATTCCGTAGTCACTTCTGAAAAACCTGCGCAGTTGTGGTGTAGATCTGCTTCCTGGGTAAAGACAATTCGACCTTGAGTATTCAGATGATATCGTCTTACTGTGCAGTAGCATACACGTTTCCCAAATCGCACGTAATTGGTTAGCGATCAGTGTTTGTACGTATGGTATATGCTTTGCACCATCCAAGTGTAAAGTATTGTTACAAGATTGGTAGAAGTGTGTATCTTCACTCACTCTTGCTGGTAAACTGCTTGAAGCTGTCGCTAAGTTCGTGTATCTGGGCAGTTGTGTGAGTGCTGGCGGAAGTGTGACATTAGATTTCCAACCGTATCATGAAAGCTAGGGTGACATATGCTATTTTGAGTCACCTCTGGCGCCGTTGCCATGTTAGCCTGGCTGTTAAATGCCGGATTTACAATGCTTCTGTGGGTGCAATCTTTTTCTACGCCTACAAAACATGGCCTATCTGAGCTGAAGATGTGCGGCGGTTCTGCGCGTTCGATCATCGCTGTCTCCGCGGGATTGCTTACGTTCAATGGCATCATCACATGAGTAATTCTGAGGTTCGGCGGCGTTCGTTTGAACACAGTGGAGATCACCATTCATTGAGTGTCGTCATCTGGAAACACCGGCTTTGATGGTTTAGACATGTGCTACGAATGTCATCCCACAGGTTCCCGTACCGCTCTCTGTTCGCTAGTCCTGAGGCGGAATGGGGAAAGTGGAGAGATGGTCAGCCTATGTCGTGACATCTTGAGATGAAGAATATTTGTGGTAGATTAGCGTTGGTTGATGCATGACGACTCCCTGATTGGGGTCTGAGAGGTAACTCGAATCGGTGGTTCGAAGTGTTATCCGATATGGCCAAAAACCGCAATCAGTGGCGAACTTGTTGCAATTTCCTCCTTTATTCCCTTTCTAACAATAATTGACGAATGTTGTTTGGTCCGGACAATGTTCTTGTTTGTTTACTACCTATTTTTTCGTATGTTGTCGTTTTATTACTATTTTGTGGCGCATCTTGGTGTCTGTGCTGTGCTAGGTTTTGCGTTTTAAATAGATAAATAAGTGTGCTTTGTTTGACTTTACTGCCGTAGGACTTGGGTGCCGTGACTAGAAGATGTGAAAAGATTACAGGTTTTTGGTCGAAAGCACTTGTACTTAGTTGAGTAAAACAACACGACAAGTAATGCTTGCATTAGACGTAGAGTGATCGGTGGGTCTATATAATTTTCCAGGGATTAAGGTGACTGGTGCTCTTGTTACGCATGTCAAGCAACCCTCTTTCTCGAAGAACATTGTTAAGTGAAGTAGGATTAGGTTGCAGAAGAGTTAAGGATGGTTAGATCTAATGTTGGTGCCAATCCATTAAGTTACTAACTGTTCGTCTAAGCTGTGTAGGAGGGTATCGGCCACCTGATTGAGGGTTCCTGGTGTTAAGAACTAACCTCTTGATGGCATGACGCAAAATCGTTCTCGGAGGCCAAATGTAGTTACTACTTATCATTTTGAAAACTTTATACTCTTTCATCCTTCATTTAATTATTCGTTGTTCTATATTTATTTGTCCATTGTAGTCATTCTATTTCTGTTCTTTACTCTGTTTTTGTTGAAATTATGGCGACGTAAAGTAGTATACTACTGTCAGTCATCTTTCTATTGAATTTAATTTACAACTTTATTATTAAGAAATTCAATGAAGAGACTAAACAAGGTGGTTTTGGTGGATGGATGATTCACAAACTTGGATGCTTAGTTTTCGTGTATTGAAGAATAGTATTGCGTTGTATATTTTGGTACTTATAGCGCTCCAGTGCTCTTCGGGATAAAGATTGGTTGCTAAAAACTGCCCACATCGGCCTTATCTATGAGTCTTTTCAGTTCCGAATTTGATACTCGACGTATATTTTATATATTATATATAGAATTATATATTATATAGAATATGGATGAAGTTTTAAAACTTTCTATAGTTTGGTTTGTAAGGATTAGTTATGTTTTACGGGTTGATCACGGATTGATATCAGTTAGAGAACCATTGAAAACCAGGGAGTACTGGACAGCTGCTGTTTCATCCTAGTTTCCCAAACTAAGATGAAACAGCAGCTGTCCAGTACTCCCTGGTTTTCAATGGTTCTCTAACTGATATCAATCCGTGATCAACCCGTAAAAGAAGTTTTAAAATTCAAAAAGAACATTACTGAAGGAATGCTCAATGTTTTCTATTTTTCATAGTCACTCCTTTTTATATTTCGATTCAACAGACGGAAATCCACTCAAGATTATCTTTCAACCGTCGTGGTTTATTGGGAATGGCATGCCTTGAAGAAAATATGAACGGTAGCCAATTTTTCTTCACTCTAGGCCCAGCTCCTGAACTTACTGGAAAGCACACACTTTTTGGACGTGTCGCCGGTGAAACACTATTCAATATGTTGCGTCTTGGTGAAGGAGAGATAGGTCGAAATGAAAGACCTGTAAGACTTCATCGCATTGTTGGTGCTTGTGTAAGTTGTATCACGTTTGTTGTGATGTATACTGGTGTGATTACACAGAATAATTTTACTCAAAATATCAAAGTAATTTGGTCCATTTTATCAGATACAAACTTTCTGTTGATAGTAAATCATGTTCCATTGTAGTCACTGATAAAAATTAAGAGAGAAGATGGCCTTTCTATATCAAATCTGACAGTAATCGACCAAAATACAGCCTAAATAGTTATTTTGCATTTCGCCTTCCCGGAAATTTAAATAGTCTATGCGCTCCATAAAATTGGTTAGCAGCTTAGTTTTGGCATAGTAAATTGTTCCCAGTTGTATAACAGCGAGTTCCTTCATCTGTGAGTGCATTATTATATTATTGTATCCTTTAGTTCCTAAAGGAACATAGGGCTTCAGCTGCGCACCTCCATTGACTTCGGTTTTCTGACAACTTTTTCACCCTGCTCCAGGTCTGTCCACATGCTTTCATCTCCTCCTCGCATGACCTCCTCAAAGTCACCCTTGGACGACCAACTCGCCGCCTCCCTTTCGGGTTCCACTCGAGGGCTTGTCTAGTGATGTCACTTGATGGTTTTCTCAGCGTATGGCCAATCCATCTCCATTTCTTTCTGCCTATTTGTTTCACAACCGGTTCCTGATTGGTTCGCTCCCAGAGATCCCTGTTGCTGATCTTTTCTGGCCATCTGATCTTGAGTATTGAGCGGAGACAGCTGTTAATGAAGGTTTGAGGTTTGTTTGAGATGCTCTTTATGACTCGCCAAGTCTCTGATCCGTATAGTAGCACTGACTTCACATTGGAGTTGAAAATCTGGATCTTATTTTGGATGCTGAGTGCTGTTGACCTCCACACAGATTTGAGAGTAATGAAAGCTTGTCTTGCTTTTCCGATTCTGGCTTTGATGTCCTCGTCAGTTCCGCCTGTAGTTGAGACGATGCTTCCCAGGTAGGTGAAGGAGGTTGTTTCTTTCAGGTTCTTCCCACTTATGCTGATTGTTGTCTGTTGTTGTTGTTGCTGTTGATGTTGGCTAGGAATCCTCATCATCTCTGTTTTATCTATGTTCACGTGAAGTCCTATCTTTGATGCTTCTTCTGCCAACTTGTTACTTTTCACTTGCATATCTTCCAGTTTATGGGAAATCAGACATATATCATCGGCGAAATCCAGATCCTCCAAGTCTTTTGTGTCAGTCCATTTTATGCCTGTTCCCTCGTTGGTTGCCGTTGTCTGTCGCATTATCCAATCAATTGCAATCAGGAAGAACATTGGTGATAGTAGACAGCCTTGCCTCACTCCCGTCCTCACTTCGAAGGCATTAGCCTTGAAGAATCGTGTGTCCCCTTACTTACTTTTCTAATCTTAGTACTACGAATATAAAATGTACTTCTTACCAAACTGTGTTTCACTGCCTATAAGTTAATTTTTAAAACAAATTTTAGCATTTATTTGTTTCTGAAAGTTGGAAGTACTTCTTTCTCTAGTTGTGTTCAATGCTTGATGAGATAATTTTAAGGGTAAACTGAAATATTCCCTAGTTATACTTGCAGAAATAGCGCTTAGTTTAAAATTAAGTGTTTCCAATGTTTTTCCAGTAGTCTGGTTAGAATTTTTTCAGGGGGAGTGATTCGAATTAAAATATTGACAGTGTTTATAGATAAGATGTCACATTCCTTATTCAGTCTGTTTGTCACATCATTTTTAACCTATGAATTATTTTGAAACGACCAGATGATTGATTATAAATATGACTTTTGCCTGCTTCTTACAAGGAGTCCAGTTTTGTGAGACTGTTAAGCCAAATTTTGATCATATAAATTAGAACATCCATTTGACGTGTCAAAAGAATGCTGTACTATAAGGATGTGAACTATTAGTTGTTAGTGATGTTGTAACTTTGCTTTTTAACTAAGTGACTAACGATTATCATATTCCGAATTCAAAGCTACTCCATAAGATTGCATGTGATGTGTTCTCCACCCCACCTTCACCTTTAGGCTTTAGGTTTGCCTACATTAGTATTAGTTGTCATTGTCTTAATCCTTATAAACTAAATTAAATTCGCTGCTTCACAATGAGCACATTGTTTGCTTCATAATTTATTTTTGAGAAGGTTGGCGTATACTGAATTATGTAATTTGATCTTCTGACAGATTATTCTCAATCCATATGATGATATTGAACCAAGACAACTTAAAAAACAGTCAGTTAAATCAAGTTCTGAAGATGAAGTTAAAGTTACAGCAAAAGCCACAAGTAAGTCAAGCGGACAACATTTGTTTTATACTAACACTACACCCTTGCTTAAAAAGCCTAAACGACACTTACTGTATATGTTCATTTCAAATGTTTAATGCACGAAATATGCCCATATTGAGAGTCATAAGAAAAAGACGTAAATAGCGAAGAAAATTTTCTTTTCTACGATTCATTTTCATTAACTGTACAATCGTAATTATATTTAATAAAGAATTTATAAGACCAGTCAGACACTGGCAAAATCTCTCCTCGAGAAACGTATTACTTAATGTTAGGTGTAGTCTAGGTGGGGTGACTAATAGGAAATTAGAAAAGAGGGCAGAAGTTGGGATGACGCAATAAGTGCGAGAAAATGACTAGTCAATTCATTACGTGAAACCCTACTAGAAAAAGGGTATCCAACAAGATTTGTCGAAAAAAGCATGAAGGAAAAGCCTCCGTCGCCAAAAATCACAACTTCATGAACCTGGGATTCAAAGGTGACAAAAATTCTCAGAAACCGCCTTCCTAAATATTTAAAAAAGACATTTCAAGCAGCCACCTCATGCATCACATTCTCCAGCAGACAATTTATCCTGTCCAACGTTAAGGACAAAATGCCCCTTTTGGCCACCTCAATGCTTATTTATCAATTTACTAGTTCGTGTGGAGCAAAGTGTATTGGCCGTATGCAGCGTCAAGTTCATGAACGTATTCTGGAGCACTGTCCAGCTTGGTTAGTCATAGGAGAAAAGAAGAATACTAGCAGCTCCATCTTTGAGCACCTTGTCAACTCTGGACATTGAGCACCCCGCATGAATGCTTCACAGTGCTATACAGAGTCCCTCAATATCGTACGAAAGGGTTTCGAATACGCCATCTGTACATAGCTGAGTCATTGGCTATTCGGGATCTGAAACTGGACTTCTGCATTCGAAAGCAGTACATGCATTCACTCACGTTACCGTGGCCAGAGTCACGTTCTCACTACGACTTTGTTTTCTTTTAATGTCATTTTATTATTATTATTATTATTGTCATCCTTATTTTATTATCGCTCTACTACCGTTTATCCATAACACTGCGTTTTCACACAGATTTTATCAAAGCACTTGATCGTCTTCCCATTAGTTCTTGTCCATTTTACATAACTATATTGATTAGTCATTTTCCCGCACTTATTACGTCATTGCCAACTTCTGCCCCTTCTCTAATTTCCAAGTGGTCACCCCTTCTAGACTACACCTGACATTACATCATACGTTCTCGAGGACAGATTTTACCAGTATCTGATTGGTCTTATGAATTTTTTAAATGTTTATTTAATATTCACAGTTCAGGTTGTTGGTAAGAATCTGCAGCACTGTTAATGATGAGAAGTTTTTACGAATTTAATAGCGTTTTTTAGTTGCTGAAGGTCTCTTGACACTGTCTGCGACGAAATGATACCATTCCGCCTCATGTCCAGATATATCATAAAGGTTGTAATCTTGTCGTTTGGTTTGGTATTTTAGCTGTACAACCAGTTTTGATATCTTCTAACCTGTCGAATTAGTCAAAGGTATGTGTATTTTGCTAACCCCCATGTGTTTTCTGTTAAAGCATGCACTAAAACTTTTATTCACGTTGATTATTTTCTAGGAATTTTTCCCTTCTCTCTTTTGGAGAGGAAGCAGAAGAAGAGGAGGAAGTTGTAAACACAGTTGTAGAGGTAAGTAATTGTATAATATTAAATCACAGTGGTCGCCTTCAAATCAGAACTCAACTCAAAAGGCTACGTTTGCATTCAAATTTATTATGACCAAGACATTTAATAATAATAATAGTAATAATAATAATAATAATAATGCTAATAGCAATATAACAAAGTAATCTGACACAGATATTTTCCCATGTATTAGGTTTTTCGCTACATGATAGCTCAGGAAATTATTCAGTTAGCAAGACTAAAGTACATAGATATGAATTTAAGCTTGGAATTCTCCAACAAAAAGGTTTGTGTGTGTGTGTACTGCTAAAATGTGGCGCAAACTGGAACAAAACAGCTGTTTAGAGCTCCCTGATTTTCAATGATCATTTTACTGATTTAGGTTCGTAACAAAGTCTACATTGAAAAACAGTCTTTAAGCTGATAAGATGTTAACGGTTCATGAAATCTAATTGGACTATGTTCGTTGTTCTGATTTCAGAAGTTTCGACAAAAAGGTAAAAGTGCTCACGATCTTCTGTCTGATCCTCGTCTTAGCTCAATGCCTGTAACAGTGAGCGATGAAGATGCGGAATCAGTGAGTCGTGCGAAATTAGAATTAGAAAAAGAAGTTGAAGAAAGAAAACGAAGGCGTGAAGAAGCTCGTCGTCAGGAAGATGAAGCTAAAAACAAGCGAATGTGAGTCATATATATATATATATATATATATATATATATATATATGGTCTTTAAAAACGAATTTTTAGATGAACAGCTTGAGTAGTATCACTAGTGCTTTAGTGGGCTAGAATAATAATTTTGTTTTGATTGGATGTTAGTCAGTAACTAATGTCATTTGTCTGTTCCTATCTTTGGTGCAGACTGAATTCTATCAGTCACGTTTGCAATGTGGCCACCATACTAGGTGGTTCACTATCACGGTGCTCTGTGAATTGTTGGTATTAGATGGTTGGAGGCAATTGGCAGGACACTGACACTTTCATGATTTCCTGCTTGGCCTATAAACGTGATAGTCAAGATTACAGATTGATAGAAAGTAAAGATAACCTTTATAAATGTCAGTGCTACTTTGGAAGATGGTTATCAATGTGTAAGCTTGACAGAACCAACGGTTGCTTAACCAGTGTAGACAGATATGAAGTTTAAAACTGCTATATCCTGCTAAATGCCCAGGGAAAAGTACAATGACCGTCAAATGGAATTGTTTGACTGGATCGATGAAACTCCATTCACCGCTATGGAGCTTGTTTGTGATCTAATAACCTATAAATGATGGAAAATATACTTAAATATTAAAATATCTGTCGAAATTCAGAGATAAAATTAGTTATTGCTTTTCAGTGAAATGTATACACTATTTTTTTTTTTGCAGTGAGATGTTGCGTCAAGAAGCTGAAGAGTTACGTCGTCAAATTGCCCTATCCAAACACGCTGAGAAGAATAAACAATCAAAAGAAAAAGAGGAGATGGAACGTAAAGCTCGTGAGGCAGAAGAACAAAGACAACAAGAAGAAGCTGCCTTAGCTCGTTGGGAAGCTAAACGAAAAGGTGAACTTGATGGAGATACAAAAGCTCCTCAACCTTTGGTAGAAGATTTAGATACTTTTTCGGCTGATTTTGCCAGCTACAAAGCAAAGTCGAAAAAGGCTAAAAAGGTGAGAAAATGGTTCAGTTTTGTTAAATAATTCCTGTAGTTATGATTAATATCATAGTGTAAAGCTTAAAAGGTTACAGTTATTGACGTCCATGTATTCGTATAGTTGATATTATTATTATTATAGTTATTTTCCTTTGGCGTTTTGTGCGCATGTTTTTCCGCTGTTTTATTAAAAGTTTGTAAATGATCTTCAACCTCTGAACTCGAGACTATTGGCTACTGCTGAGTTTATGAAAGTATTCAGTCATTAATCAATAGAAAGTTTTAGTACTTTCTAAATTATGTACATTGACTTCGAAAACTACTGCATTTTGTGGTATGTGGTGATTAGATAAACTAGCCTATTGAAATAATTCAAATAAGCAAGTTTTCAGAGGTTGATTGATATCACTCGGTCGTATGACAGGGATAATCTGCTTGAAAGTTTGTTTTACATAGTATGTGATTTCTCAATGTTTATCTGTATGCCTTATCTGTTTATTGAGTTCAAGTGGTTGGGGTAATCGGTAGGCAGTCTTGGACATAGGTTTTCTCACTACCTACAAACGCTGTAATAGAAGTTACCATTTTTGATTTCTTTCATACATTGGAGCATAACGGTGAATACATTATGAATTACTTCCTACAGTAATTTTTTAAGAACTTTACTTCTGAAGAAATACAATTTTGGCATACTTTCGTTTCTCGAATTCATCCAGCAGTATTATTTTTGATTAGATGTAGAAATTCTCTGTGTGTAAATCGTCTTTCAAACAAGGAATGACTCTGTATTTACCTGTGTTCGAAGTGGACGTCAAGGATAACAAAAGATTTTTTAATCAAATTGTTATGTACTCGTCGAGTAGTTAATAGTCCTGACGCGGAAAGAGGGAAATCAGAAGACCACCAGGTTTACGATGATACTTGTATTTTCCAGACAAGGAAATATAAATGTCACACAAGCGTGTGAGTGAAATGGTACGTAGGGTACAAAACGTGGGAACAAGAATGAACAAATATACAGTACAAAAGTACATATGAAAATGACTAATACACATGAATCAATAAATAGACAGTCTTAACATGATTAGTTGTAATGTCATGTGACAACAAGGTCACACGTGTTTATTTAGTTAGTGGACAGACAAAAGCATAATGTCAGTTATAATGGAATATCGTTCCATATACACAGCAAAATATAAGACTGTCAAAAACAAGACACACATCATGTGGATACATACCACAAATCCTATTTATCTATTTAGAAATGTATCATGTAAATAATTAGTGCGTGAAATGTGGTTCTAAACTAGCAGTTGTTTACAATTTTGTGAACCACTCGATAAACTGTACTTCATATGTGGGAGTTTATGATACTACTCAGTAGAGAGGATGGCTTTGAGACCTAGGATTTACTGGTTGAAAGTTGACAGCTTAGACTGTTGAGATACTTCTTCTACATAAGGGTTGAATAATATTCAGTCACTTTATATATTCATCTTAATTTTACTGGACATAAAATACTTCTTTTTTTCAAAAATGATTACACACACACAAGTGATTGTTCAATGTATTCATTATTATTTTAAATATTCATGAAAATTTTGAACTTTCAGTTAAACAAAAAAATATATCATGTTTACTTCAAAGGGTTCTGAACGTGAAGCTGCTACCTTATCATTACTAGAAAGATTTGGTAATCGTCTTCGTGCTGCTATAGCTTCCGAAGAATCAAATAATAATGACGCCTGTAAACTTTCAGATATGGATGAATGGTATGTTTAGCATTTGCATAACTTTTCTGAGACAATCATTTTGGTATAATTTTATTGTGGAGATTTTTATTGTGTGGTATACATAAGCCGCCATGTACCTGAAAATAGTGTCATTTGGTTCGTCATTTATTATTTTGGCATGTCTGTCCTGTAATTTTATTTTTTTTGTCAAATATATTAGACATGAAATACGCATCATGTACTCGAAAGCCTAGATAATGGAATTTTAACATTGAATATCTCCTTTATTTGTTCATGACTTAAACCTGTTTGGTAAAACTGGATTTCAAGTTTGGAGATGGATCGGACACGTTGAGGAGACAGTCAGATGGCATCGTGCGCCAGGCCTTCGAGTGGAACACTGATAGGAAAAGGTCAGTGGGGCGTCCGAGGGTGACATGGAGGAGATGAGAGACTATAGGCAGTCGTGGGGCCAGCTGAAGAGGACAGCAGGAAATAGGACAAAGTAAAAGTGTGCTGTTGAAGCCCTATGTTCCATTCAAAAACCAAGGGAACAATAATAATAATAATAATCAATTTTATTTCAAAAACTGTTCATACCAAATGAAATTAGATGCTACTCAACAATCATTTGCAGTTCCATGCAGTTTGCTAATGACACACCTATTATGTGAAGGCAAATGATACCACTACTTGTCTATCTGAATCTTGGTAGCCGGAGCGGATTCGAACCCATGACTCACTAGTCAGAAGTCAAGCGCCTAGAGCGATGAGCCACAGCTCCACATACCAGACACAAATTATCATCGATTAGTCATAATTAACGAACAACTGAACAGTCTTGTCAACCAAATGTTAATAATGTCTTTATTCGCATGTAGTAATAATTCATTATTATTATTATTTTCACTTCCCGATTTGCTTCCCTTGCCTTATTTTTCAAAGCAGCCTTCCTTTTAACTAAGGGTGTCTATGGATTATTGATTTCCTACTTTCTGAGGAAGGTTATATTTCATTCACTTTTTTGTAGTTATTTTCTACAGAAACAGTAGACGCTTTCAGTTTTGCACCGTGACTTGTTATGTTTCAGACATTGTGCTGGTGATGGTGAGTATTGTTGTGATAGCCAATCGCCACATAACTAAAAAGAATGCATTTCTCTTTTTTTTTACATTACCTGAAATTCTTACTATTGGAATAACAATCAGAACTAGCACCAGCAATGATTTTATTTTATTCAAAACAAACTAGGTGCATTGGGGGTATCAAAAGATGCTCCACACAACAATAAAACAACGGTGTATAACGAAAATAGGGATAAGTGAATGAAGATATCCAAAACTCAGACGAGCAAAATGACTACATTCAATGACTGGTAACTGCTGTCATATCCAAACACACGCTGTTGAACCTCAGCATTGCCAACACGATGAAGCCATACGATGCAGACAATTCTACGGAAGTCAGTGCACAGAGTTGCCGCACATCCTCACCTCGGAGAATCCAAGTTTTACAGACGTAGAGCAAGACTCTGCGCCGATGCCTTATAAACTTGACCTTTGACGGCGCCAGAGACTGCCCGAATTGGCGTATACTACCCTAGCTTTCATAATGCCATCAGAAATTTCGTCCCTCACACCGCCAGCACTCAAACAACTATTTAGATATACGAAGTTGTCGACAACTTCAAGCGATTCGCTTGCAAGGTGAGTGCAGGTACAGGCTACTGCCAGGCTCGCAACAGTATCCTTCACTTAGACAGACCAAAGCACATACCATGCTTATAGACACAGTGGAGATATGTGATAAACATGAACCAAAATCAAACAGAACATTATTATTATTGTTCCCTTCATTTTCTAGAGGAACATAGGGCTTCAGCCAAACGTCTCCATTGCGTTCGTTCTCTGGAACGTTTTCATCTGGTTCCATGTCTGTCCACATACCTCCATCTCCTCTTCACATGACCTCCTCCATGTCACCGTCATACTGACGACCAACTCACCGCTTCCCATTCGGCTGGATTCCACTCGAGTGATGGCCTGGCATGTGATGGATGCCACTCACTTGATGGCTTGTTTTCTCAGAGTATGGCCAATCCAATCCACCTGGATTTCTTCCTGCATATTTGTTGAACAATTGGTTCGTGGTGAGTTGGTTTGTTGATTGTCAGAGATCCCTGTTGCTGTTGCTATAGGTGTTGGTGATGTTTTCTAGCGTGTCATTTTATCTTGAGTAGTATTGAGCGAAGACAGGTGTTGATGAAGGTGTGTAGTTTGTTTGAAGTGGCCTTCGTGACGCGGTGTCTAAGTCGTTGATCTGTATAGTAGCACTGACTGACTTCCCATTGTAGTTGAAACTCCGGATGTTAATTTTCATGGTGAGTGGTGTTGATGTGCACACAGACTTGAGGTAATGAGAGCTTTCCTTACTTTTCCTATCGTCGCTTTAATATCCTCGTCAGTTCAAACGGAACATAAAGTACACAAAAGAGGACAAAACAGCATGTTGACTGTTTGGATTAGGTATGTGATGGGGAATGTCTGAGTTTATGGTATGTATCTCCTAACCATGTGATTGACAGTCTTTCACGAATTCAATATATTTGAGAGGTTAACAATTAGATTATATTTTAATTTCATACTGATGTATCTGTTGTATCTTAACAAAATTTAGGTTAATGATAGTTGAAATTGAGAGGAGTCAACTTTGTGTAAATCTTTTCGTTCATTATTTGTAGGATGAAAAATCGTCTAGTATCAGAGGTTCCAACACCAGCCAGAAAAGTTCTTGATCCTACTATGCCTCATCCTGATCGTTATGATCTATACGATCCTAGAAATCCACTAAATGTTCGAAAGAGAGGTGGAGATGTGGAAGCTGCTACAGAACGAAAATCCAAACGTGTTTGATACTGTGTAAAAAAGATATATCCTTATCATCCTGTACATATAAATCCTACTGTACACTTTTTAAAATAAAGAATTTTATGCTGTTATTTAATAAAACAGTTGACTTTTTCTTAAACAGTTTGAAAATGGCCCATGTTGTCTGTTTTAATTACAAATAAGCGTAGCATTTCTGAATGCCTAAAAGACAGTAATTTGATGCATTTCATGACAGAGATTATCTTCACCAAGGAATGCGTTCTCTTCCTTTTTTGTTTCTACTTTATCCATGAATAACTTGCAGGGAATTCTATTTGTAGATTTAGTAATTTGTTAGTGGGTGGGGTGGGGTGGGTGAAATGAACGCCTTTGCCCAACTCGGAACGTAAGGAATGAATAGTACCGATGATTAGATGAGATTCCCCCACCAACCATTTGAAAGTTGTCTATAAGCTTTTCATACATTTAAAAGATGTTCGTATGTGTATCTTGTTTTTCTGTCTATAAATAGTACCATTGAATGTGGTCAGCAATTCCTTGTTATGTCTCAGTTGGTTCAGTTGTACTATGTATTCTTTATTCAATAAATTATTGCACTTAGACATAGAACAGCTGAACCAACTGAAACGTAACAAGGAATTGCTGATCACACACCCTGATAAAGATACTGAAATAGTCCTAATGGATAGAAAAGATTATATTCATAAAGTGTTAGCAATTCTTTCGAAAAACAACAATTTAGCTGCACTTGACAAAGAAAAATACAAAACAAAAATGCAACTCACTGGGATAATAAGAAAGCTAAAAAGTGGTCAACTTATCTCTGAAAAGGTCCACGACAGCATTCCACCAACTGGTTCGATAATACCCTGAATATATCGATTACCAAAAACTCAGAAACAGGGACTTCCGTTGCTCCCTACTTTGTACATGTTCGTATTTCCAAACCATCCAATTACAAAATGGTTTGGAGAACTGCTATAGCCTGTTGGAGAACAAATTTCAAAATATTCTTTTCGAGACACGTTTGAATTCATCGGCTGTATCAAAGATGTGAAAGTGGACGACAACCGCATGATATCACTCGATGTAGAATCTTTCTTCACAATGGCCGCGATTAAAGTTGACGATTTGTTTCTGATGCAAAAACTTGGAAGACAACGAGTTGAATATTGGAATACCCACAAGCAAGTTAAAATAACTTCTACATAGATGCACTTTGAACGTTTATCGTGTGTCGTACTCGTTATATGGTGTGCTACTCATAAACAGAAATAAACACTATATAGAGTAATTTCTCTGAAGGAGAGCGGTGATAATTTATGACATTGAGAAAGTCTTTGAATAAGTGATATGTATCCATATATATATATATATATATATATATATATATATATATATATATATATATATAATGTGTGTGTGTATGTTGGTCTCTCTTTCTGTTTGCTCTCTTAGTCTGTGACCATTTCACTTGTATGAACTTGTCTCCTTTAACAATGTATATTCCCCTTATATTATATATAATATGAGTGTTTGTTGACAGTCCGTTGCTTAGTGACATATATCCATATTTGGTGGTTGTTGACATGTCTGCTATATTTCGCTATGTATATATGGATCGATACTTCATTATAATTAGCCATTCATGTTAAGACTGCCTAATGATTTGTTCACACACTTTGTCTGGAACATTCATATATATTTCGCATTCACAATTTGTGTGACTTACTTTGGTGTGATACCACTTATTGCTTCTCCTTGTGTTTGGAAAATAAAAGTATCATCGCAAACCTAGTGGTCTTCTGATTTCCGCCTTCTTGCGTCAGGACTATTAGTTTCTCGACCAGTCCATAACAATAATTTAGCGACGAGTACATAACGATAAGAAACTAGAAAAGGCCTACTATTCTCCGAAGAACATAATAAGCAACGCTGAAAAAACAACGAAACATTCCTTACGTGGGACGAGTGGTATTATTTGCAAATAGTGATATCAGTGCACACGCTTTGCCAATATTCATTGTGTTTTATCTCAATAAAGTTTATACCTGCCTTCATCAGTCATGGATGCACTTCATTGGTGTGTGAACTTACACAGCTTGGTTACAAGAATGCTTTCACGAGATCTACCATCTTCGCTTAGTATGCCACTGCCGTGATGTTGCTGCATAGCAAATTTTTTTCTTACTATTGTTTGGTATTAATTCTTTTTTATTTCTATCACATTTTAGAATTTCTCTTTTTTCCTACTACCTTCATTCCTTATTGAGTTCACAGTTAAGATTTTACCTATATATCTCTCCGTAGACCTAAAAATGTGACTACTACGTTTGTATTTATTTTCTCTTATTCTTTGAATGTCGACTTTATTTCAGTTTCTTTTTCCCCTACTATCCTCTACATTCTGAAAGTTGTTGACTAGTTTACTCATGTATATGCGTATGGTAATTTAAGAATGTGAAATAGGAAAATGCTACAGTGGCTACAATGGAATTACAGTGGCATTATGAAATGAATTTCGAATTTCTGAGATTTTGCTGCATTTAACTTCTACAGTAGTAGTGTTAGTTAAGTTCAGTAAAGCCGATTGAGAAATCAAAATTTCAGTGACTCATAGTTATCACTAAATAAAAAGTAGGTCTTCAAATAACTTTATTGAAATTATTTAGGCGTTTCAGTTTATGTGCAGTTTCGACTGTGAAGGTATTAAGCTGTTTGAATGATGTCCAGTCTGTATTATATATATATATATATATATATATATATATATATATATATTGAAATATGTGTATTGCACTTTACTCCTATTGAAGAAGATTGGACTTAATACGCACAGTCCATAAACTACACTGTCTTTCCACCTCTGTAAACTGTTTAAACGTCCTCTAGTTGAATTTTCGTAACAGAATTCTGATCAAGTAGTTAGAAGGATATTTAATTCAACAAGAAAAAAATACTGTGATATTTCTTTTTCCAGCGAGCATACATTTCTTTTTCCTTCATCCTCCCAGTGGAACATAGGGCTCCAAGCTAGAGGCTTGAGGTTTCTGTAGCAGTGTTTATTTTTACAGGATGGGGTTGCTAGCCTCATGACTAACCTTTCCGCTTTACCAGTCTCACTAGTGGCTTAGCGGGGTAAAGGAGTGCGTCTATGGCCGGGGATCGAACCCCGGACTGTGTGCATGGTCGGCAAGCGTCCTAACCGCTGTGCCACCGACGCACTAGCGAGCATACATACTGAGACATAATTTTCAGTAAGAGTCAGTGCTTTAATAATGTTCATTGTTAAGACGTGATAGTTGACTGTCTCAGCTTTCCGCTAGACTAAGTCACAATGCAAGTTTTCTGATAAGCAGCAGTAATATCTGCTTATGTGCTGTTTTCGGTATATTTTCTTACCGTCAAATCAAGAAGAAGGTTAAAGTGAATCTCAAAAACTTTCACTCTTCATGCATTTCATTTGACTGTACAACATTGAGAAATTATTTTGTTAGGCGGCGGATGGATGATTAGATGATGATATAACTGAATCTTAGAAAGCGGTTAAGAATTCAATTTTCCATGCGACTGCCTAATGCATTTTAGTGTGCATATTCTGTACTCCTCTGTCATCATTGCAAAGTGTAATCATCATTCAACTCTTGAGTTCACTCTTCAAATTATTTCCGATAATCTTATAATGAAAATATTTTTCAAATGAAAAAAAAGCGACAACTATTAAATACCTGATTTTCATTATTTTTTCAAATCGTATTATCTCATTTTGATGAAATTAGGTGGAAACAAATAAATTAACTAAAAAATACACTTAAATCATATAAGAAGTAGTCGTTATGGTTATGGTCATTAAATATCCACACACACACACACTATTTCTATCAACTGACTTTTATTGTTATTATTATTCAACAGCACAGAGAACCAGTTTTGTTTTTTATTTTTATAGTTTGAGCAAGTCCAGACACTTTAACGGTGAGATACAGGAAGGAGAAAACAACAACAAAAAAAAATAGAGAGAGAGGGAGACAGAGTATATAGATAAAGAGAAGGAGAGACAAAACAGACTGGTTTTAGTTAACAGAATGCCTACAGAAATTTAGGGAATAAAACATTGAAATTCAGTAGTCAGATAAAATGGAAAATATTTTCGTAATGCCTAAAAATTCAGCTAGTGTATTCTTTATTTGATTTGAAGGGAATGAATGATAGTCGTCTGTGTTCATGGGAGAGTAGTGTAACTGGTTTGTTTAGTTAGCTAGTGTGTTGGTAAAAATAATAATAATTGTCCACCTTTTATTCGATTATTATTATTATTATTTTTATTAAAAATAAAGAGAAACTAAAAAGGATAAAGACGAAAATTGAATAAATTAAAAAGCAGGACTGTGTATGATTTGAGATAGGGAGTCAATAATATTTTTCACTTTATATAGTGTATATATATACTGGATAAGATGGAATATTTTCTTTCACCTTGAATCTCTGACAAACAGAAAAAACATAGATGATGAAAGCATATTGACACTAATAACAAATAAGTAAAGAGTATTTAGCAATATACCTACTGAAGATAGATAGACTGGGATAGACTGAGATAACAGAATGAGAGAATACTAGTTATGTGTTTTTAAAGGAAATATCCATCCATGATCATCAACAAGTGGGCGATAATTAGGTGTAAACTGAATTTTTTAAGGCTTTTGTATATGTGTACAATTGCGCTTCATATGAGGAGGAGGAGGAAGTGGAAGAGCAGGTAACATTAGATGAAGTTAGTTTGGTGGGAGGGGTGGAGTGAAAAGGTTAAGAATAAACAAATGTTATTATTATTATTATACAAAGCATTTGAGGATTATTCATCTTAGTTATCACTACTCATAGCTTTGTAATTTAATTTGTTTCAGCTGTACACGGCAAAAAACATATCTGATGATATATATATATATTCTCGATTTCATGCGTAGACGTAACAAAACAAAAAAAGTGTGCCGAAAGTGAAGAAGCACAGGTCTAATCTTTTTCTTACACAGATAAAAGAGGAAGGAAACATCAATATCAAGTGTAACAAACTAAAGCAACATGAAGAATATATAACTCTTCAGTAAATTTCGAAACTAGTTAGTATTTTATATAATTTCGTATGCGATTAACGTGTATATTTTAGTTTGTGTTATGGTTTTTGTTGTCCAGTTGCATCATGGTGCTTAGTTTTCATAGCTGCTGAAATAACTTTCTTAGCTGTTTTAATTGTTTTGACCGCAGCTACATTTGAATCACTCGGTTGTGAACTACCAAGATTTTGAGTATGCCTACCAGAATGACTAGGCTGATCTGTATTTCCAGTTAACAAATTGAAAAAGAAAAATGCCAAGCTAGCGTTGATCAGTAGAACGAAAACGATGACGAAATTAGCACGAATCCAGTCCTGTGTGTATAAAAATGATGTGCAAAAATTTAGCAGTAAATAAAAAACGATTATTCAAGTGTTGGTTTGTAGGGATTTGATTGGTTTCAGGATTTCATCATGAGCTGACATCAGTTAGAGAACCATTGGAAAACCTGGGAGTACTGGACAACTGTTTCGTCCTAGTTTGAGACTCTTCAGCAGTGCGTACCCACTGCTAGGGTTCGAATCTAGGACCTTCTGGTTACAAGGCGAGCTAGCTCGTAGACCATTGATCCACTGGGACCCGATCCAATGGCCGATGAATTCTAACTTCTGCCAATTCACGACATAGTGCGACCGCTAGCCAATGTCTTCGGCGAGTATTTGTCCTCACACCCGACCAGCTGCACCCTACTGGTCACGACTTCCCACTGGAACCCAGGTAACTACCTACCTACATTGGCTAGCGGTCGCGCTATGTCGTGAATTGGCAGAAGTTAGAATTCAAGGACTATTGGATCGGGTCCCAGTGGCTTAACGGTATACGAGCTCGCCTTGTAACCGGAAGGTCCTGGGTTCGAATCTCGGTGGGTGCGTACTGCTGAAGAGTTCCAAACTAGGACGAAACAGCTGTCCAGTACTCCCAGGTTTTCCAATGCTTCTCTAACTGATGTCAGCTCATGATGAAATCCTAAAAAACGATTAATTGATATAAGAAAAGAATTTGGGCAGCTTGGCAGAGAATAATTCCAGGATAGAGTAAATTCATTTGTCGAAACGTTCAGTAACTGTTTTCTGGTTAATAGGATAAATTGATTTGAAAGCTATTTGCAGGCGTAAAACATGCTAGTTGAGACTTTCTGTCCCACTCTGTCTAATGTTCACCATTTCTTCCTGGTATGAAAAGCTTTCGAATACTGCACTGCATTTACAAAAAAGGCAGTTGTTTGTAGTGACCGGCAGATTATTTAACGTGATGGAAAAATTTTAGTTCACCCCCCCCCACAACGAAAATCATGGTGAAAGTTTTTCTTCAAGTGAATACTTTAAGGAAAGTTGAGTCCATGTAATCTTTGCTTTTGCCTTTAGGCGTAGTTCGCATTCTTGAACGCCAGCCGATCTTAATAAATACGAATGTAGAAATAAGCCATCCACCGGTGTTACTGTTATTGTTTCTTCATTTTCTAGAGGAACATAGGGCTTCAGCCAAACGTCTCCATTGCGTTCGGTCCTCTGGAACGTTTTCATCTGGTTCCATGTCTGTCCACATACCTCCATCTCCTCTTCACATTACCTCCCTCATGTCACTGTCATACTGACGACCAACTCACCGCTTCCCATTCGGCTGGATTCCACTCGAGTGATGGCCTGGCGTGTGATGGATGCCACTCACTTGATGGCTTGTTTTCTCAGAGTATGGCCAATCCAATCCACCTGGATTTCTTCCTGCAAATTTGTTGAACAATTGGTTCGTGGTGAGTTGGTTTGTTGATTGTCAGAGATCCCTGTTGCTGTTGCTATAGGTGTTGGTGATGTTTTCTAGCGTGTCATTTTATCTTGAGTAGTATTGAGCGAAGACAGGTGTTGATGAAGGTGTGTAGTTTGTTTGAAGTGGCCTTCGTGACGTGGTGTCTAAGTCGTTGATCTGTATAGTAGCACTGACTGACTTCCCATTGTAGTTGAAACTCCGGATGTTAATTTTCATGGTGAGTGGTGTTGATGTGCACACAGACTTGAGAGTAATGAGAGCTTTCCTTACTTTTCCTATCGTCGCTTTGATGTTGTCGTCGTTTCCGTGCGCTTCTGGTTGAAACGATGCTTCCCAGGTAGGTAAAGGAGATTGTTTCAGATTTCTCCTATTAATTCTGATCGTTGTCTGTTGTTGTTGCTCTTGCTGTTGACCAGGAATCGTTACCACCTCTGTTTTGTCTATGTTCCCCTGAAGGCCTATCTTTGATGCTTCCTCTGCCAACTTGTTGCTTTTCGCTTGCATATTTTCTAGTTTTGGGAAATCAGAAGTACGCTATCGGCGAAGTCCATATTCTCCGAGTCTTTTGTGTGGGTCCATTTTAAGCCTGTTTCCTGGCTGCCCACTGTCTGATGCATTATCCAGTCTACCGCAGTTAGGAAAATCATTGGAGATAGTAGGCAGCCAACCTTGTCTTACCCCCGTCTTCACTTCAAAGGATTGTCTGAGTTTGCCGTTGGGGATTAATTGGCATGCAGCATTGTCGTACAACTGTTGGATGAGTTGTATAATTGTTGGCGGCACCCCGCAGTAGCAAAGTAGCCTCTAAATCCTCAGCATAATACGTAGCTGGTAGTAATAACTTTACAATAGTGTGTTAGTTTGCAATTGGTTTTTCCGATAATGAGTGACAGATTTACTTGATAGTTTTGTAGGAATATTTTGTGATATTCTGCAGTTGCATCATTCATCTAATTAAGTTGTACTATCTAATTTCGTATTCTAATATTAGGGTCATTAGTGAGTTAGTTGTTTGGCTGAGAGCGCTTGCTAATAAATTTTATTCTCACGAGATGTGTGTGTGTTTCTATTTTTCGGGATCTCCTTCTGTTGCTATCCCACACACTCAAACACCATCATTATTACTGTGGTATTTGTTACTGATAAGATTAATCAGTAGTTTGGAAGGAAGAGATAGAAATTGTAATGAACATTTCATGTTAATGGCTGCAGAGGTAGAAGTGATTACTCTCTAATCTGGATCTAGTTTATGCTGTGGATATAAAATAACCTTCTGTCTCAATGCTTAACCTTGGATCAAACAATCAGAACAGTTTGTTGTCCACTGACCTAGCCGACTTTTAATGTGGTTAAAATGTATAAATACGATGTGCTTTTCCGTAATAAAAATGTGCGTTCCGATTCCCTATCTTCTATCGTTAATTTACAACAAAACCTTGTTAACGTCAAAAAACTCTATCAAATTATTGTAACTGGCAACTGAAGTCATGCCAATTTATCTCATGTTCACATCACATTACCTAAAGTATTAGGTGTAAGCAATGCGATATTTTCAATTCAAACCATTCTTCGAAAATACAGTCCACAAGCGTGCGCTGATATGTAATTTACATTTTATCATATATGCATAAGAGTTCTTACCTTAATATCAGCTAGACGGATTACAATTTCACCTCGTTTTCGTCTTTCCATTTCATGATATAATTCTTGTCTTCTGGCCTGACTCAAGCGTGCAACTTCTTCACGAGTAAGTTCTCCGGAAACAGGATGTTGAACAGCTCTACGTCTTGATGGACTATCATACTGACCGGTTGCATGACTACGAATTACAGAAATATCTGGCATACTGGCTTCTTTTGTTGTACCAGGGAGGTGAATTATTGATTCAATACGATATGATTTAGGAAGTGGCATTAAGTCTTCTGTTTCTGGATAGTGCTGTTTATTTGCTCCAGTCCTATTGACTGTAACAACTCCGGTGTTTTCCATTGCTGGTCTATATGGATCATATGCCCTGTTTTAAAATATTATGACAAATATGATTGTAATATTTTTCAAAAAATGTTGATGTAATGTGTGAACAGTTAGGTAACTAAACTGTAGCCAATATGTGATATACAAATCTCACTACGATACATAGGATGTGACCTCAGGAGTTCAAGTAACAGCTTGTTTTTCTCCTATTCTCCATTTCATTAGTATTTAAATATACCCGAAACTGTTGTAGTAATAAATAATACCATCTGACCTTTTTTCTTCATACATGTTCAGTTCGTTTTTTCTTTTTTACTGAAGTATTTCCTTTTAAAAATATATCCCAATCATTGTATGAATGCTTATTTATTTATTTATTGTGAATCTATTGCTAACTGGTAAAGATTATAGTTCGTGGTTTGTTGTGATTTATAGATAAACTCATGACATATGTTTTGTATAGAACCATTTAAGTTTACTTCGTCACTTTATGCAGCCTGTATACGATTAGGTTCTGAAGATTAAATTGTTTAACTAATGATAGGTAAGATGATGTATATTAAGAGAAAACGCAGTGGAATCCCAGTAAAAGCACTGCATTTTCCAGTCCTATTGGATGTCTTTTTTAATGTTAGATCCACGAACTTAACGATGGTTCACATCTACGAGTTAACTTCATTCAGTTACACACTACTTCAAAACTGGAGTAAATGTGCAATTATCTTTTTTTTTATTTCCTCCACGTTCGTTAGTGGAACATAGGGCTTTAAACCAGTGACTTGAAGTTTCTGTAGCAGTGTTTATTTTACAGGGTGGGGTTGCTAGCCTCATGGCCAACCTTTCCTCTTTACCAGGATTATTTCTGGCTCAGCGAGGTAAAGGAGTGCGTCTGTGGCTGGGGATCGAACCCCGGACCATGTGCATGGTTGGCGAGCGTACTAACCGTTAAGCCACCGACGCATTTGTCTTGATAATTATTAATGTTGCTTCCCCTCCATTCGTGGTTATTTCACAAATCTACTGCGTCGTATGTATATGAACATTAGGTAATAAGGGAAACCTTTCCACTGCTTTGTAGTGAAAGTCACTATGATTTTGCTGATACATATTCAGAAGTCCTCAACAATTATTTAGTTTTTCTTAATCTTAATTGTAACATTCCATAGTCCAAGTTCGAAGTGATAAGGTGTTTTGTCAAAGTTACACGTGAATCTCGTGGAGATACACTTACAAACAGGGAATTAATGTTAGACGTGTCTCTTCACTCACCTCAAATAAACTGATACCAATAGTAAATTTAAACAATGTCACAAATATTGACGACTGTTTTAAACAGTTACAGCATAATGATAAAGAGATAGACTCACGTGGTCCATTCTGGTCTGCTTCCTTCCAAGTAGGCAGTTTCTGATACTTTTTGAGATGGTCCTGTGGATGCTTTATTGCGTTGATTTTGTTGGCGATTGTGGGTTTCAGCTTGAACGCGTTTACGAATTCCATTCTCTATGATGTAAGTTGCAGCTGCATCAGCCGGTAAATTCTCAGCACTATGTACCGTCTGATCATCTATAACACAACCTATATTTGAGTTATGCGCTGTTCCCTTTGTAGTCGTATTCATTCTAGAGTTTGGTAGTTGTGATCCTGGCTTAATACAAGCATTTCTAGTGGTTTGGATAGGAGGTTCTGTCATTATAGATGGTAGAGTTCTCCGTCGAACCTTGTTTATGGATGTCAGTGGTGTTTCAGGTGGTGAGCTAGGCTCCTTCGATAACATAGATTCCTCTTCCCAGTTGTCTATGATTGACTCTTCATTATTGATTTCACCATTTATATTCATCCCCATATTGTGGAAGTTATGGTCATGAATGTCATTCACATAACCGACATGAGCACGATAGGTTTCGGATGGCTGTACAAGTTGGCTAGTGCCTATTCGGATTTCAGTTGACCTATGCACACCTGCTTTGATAAGCCTTGCACAATCAACTGTTGGTGAATGAAGAGATGCTGTTTCTGTAGGTTTGTTACGAGTACGAGGCATTGTCCCATATTCAAATCCTCGATTGGAATTAATCTGTGGTTCCATTTGAATATCTAACTGTTGACTGGTAGAAGCCATGAGGTAAGGAGAATGAGGATGCTGAGCCATATGCTGAGCAAACTGTTGTTGTTCAGACGGTGAATAACCTAAGCCAGTAAATCCAGTTGTAGCAGCTCTAGCTATAGGTCTACCAGCTGGACTTCTTTGCTGTCCATATACAGCATTTTGTTGATTCACCTGACCCCTGTAGTCAGCATTCACATAGTTATCTTTCCCAGTCCCATGAAATTCTTTTGAATAATATCTTTTCTAAAGGAGAAAGATTTGAAATGTATTTGTTTAACAGGTTAACTGTTAGTAAAAAATAGAAAGTGAGCCTAGTTTCATATAGTTAGATTTATGGTGAAATTTCTTCATTTTTAAAAATACTCTTAAAAGAATACATTCACTTGTTCATTCGATTTAGTTATTCTACCATAGACAAACAAAAAAAAACAAGGTTACTTCTTGCTGAACGGGAACAGATTACTTCAGAAGACTAGAATTACTTACTCTGTGTTCAGTATGTTGTCTGTACACCTTATTTATATTTAGAAATTATTACTGAAGACTCCAGAGTATGACAAAACGATGAAAATAAAAGCTTCCTTGTTGTGTTCTGACAGCTATAATATGGACATTTCAGTGCATTTACCTTCGCCTTATTTTAATAAACCATATATATAATGACTTTTTGTCAAATGAATAGCATGCCCTTTTTCTCCTGACATTTTCATGGCTTGTTAAAACATTCGGCATTTGTGTGCAATTCAAGTGTCACAATGCTCTGCAGTTTCGTCTTTATCTATCTATCTATCTCTTATTCCATTTGTTCATCCGAGTTAATATAAATAGATTCTAGAAATAGAAGAGAATATTAGTCAATGGGATAGATAATCTCCCATGGAAGTTAATCTTAACTGTTAGTTATCTTTAGATGTCATTCAACAGTACAATAAACAAATAATCCTTCACACAATTGAGATTATTTTTTTTCTTAAAGGTAAACTGATGTATACATAGTTTCCTTCAGCAGGTCAAACGATCTAAGGAATCACCGTAAACGACAAAAAAAATTTCATGAGGACAGACACTAATCTTACTTAGTTTATACAGATAAATGTATTCAGATGAACAATTGATAGACTACAAGATAAACAAAAAGAAGAAATCTGTTGCATCTTAGTTTTTTTTTACAACATCAAATTAAAATCAGCCATGAAACCTGTTTCGTCAGTTGTTTCTACTTAGTGTACAATTCTTGTGCAATATGAATTCACCTATCCATCAGATAACCAATCATATAGCAATCAGCTTTCTCAGGGGAGAGAGTACCAGTTAGTCAGTCACTGGGTTTCAGTCCAGTGATCTGTCCTTACGAAATATTCACGATGAGACCTGACAGTCCTAGGGTTTTCAGGTCAAGTTGATCGAAATTTACAGCTTATAACGAAGGAACTGTCTAGTGATTTCTTAGGCATTGATCCCTTAGAAAGATTATTTTGTAATGACTTTTTTTGTGAACATCATAGAATGTAATTAGTTTGTACATGTTTAATCACAGATTTCGATGTAGTAAATTCATTGAAATCTTGAATGCTTAATTTGCTTAGCATTTATGGAGTTTATGAAAGGACAGTTTAGTGAATAATTTTGTAAATTACCATGTAGTTATTTTTCGCTTTACCGTCTGACTGTTCGTTAGTCTGATGAACCATATAGGAGGTAATTACATGCCTTTTTGAAGAAATATCAAGATATTATAATGAAGGTCAGTCATGTTGGTTGTTTCTCAGAATGGAATGAATGCATGTATGCTACCTTGAACATGTTCAAAAGGAATCATTACATCTTAAAGTTATGTACTAGACTGATTTATGGTAATGGGGTACCGCTTTTAATTCTACTGATGTACACATTTTCGTCTGTACTTCATTCATCACCCGTTCTAATACTTTTTAATTTTAAAAACAATGAGAAATTATCCAAATAAGTGAACTTACTGAATCCATGTTAGGATTAGATGTGTGCACTTCATCTTGATACTTGAAGTTATCATTTGAATACTGTTCATTTTGTTGGAATCCTTGAGTTGTATTTCCACGTCGGCGGAAACTGGAACGAAAACTGCCTTGACGACTTCCACCGCTTACTTCTAAACTATTACCAATTTGGGCTGAATTATCAGGACCAAGTGTATTTTCTTTGACCATACCTTGTGTATGCAAAATGTTATGATCTGATCTTCGGTTTCCAGTACTAATATCCTCCTCACGATTTGAGCTATACCCGAAAATATCTTTTTTCATTAGTGGATTTTGTTTTTCCCATTGTAGTCCTAGCATATTTATAAAATAAGTGGGATGATATAAAATTAAGCGCGAAAAATTAAGTGTATCCATCTGATAAATAGTTAAATGAAATAGGAAAATTTTTTTTCCATGTAAAATTAATTCTCTCTCCATGCGACATTATATGGTAGTCAAAGATCTATAATACAGGTTTAAGGCTTTGACTAAATTTACCTAAATGCTTGACAGTGATTTTTATGTATTTAATACAGGATTGGTCATCACTGTGTCTCAACTCACAAAGTATAGTAGTTAATATTAAGTGAATGTGTTTTGATAAGCTGAATTCGTATTGGTAAGATGGCAGTTTGAACAGAGACAGACGAATAAAAGTCACAAAATACTTTCAGGTGAAAGAAAGCAAGTGAAGAAATATGATTTGACGCTAAATAGGAGAACAAAATGTCAATGTATCCGTTAAACTACCGTTTATTCTGAAGCATACCACTTGTAGCCTAAAATTATGGACTCGGGTGATCACGCGGATGTCAGTCAGGTCATTTGCATTTCTACATTCGGCTGGGACCGACATTCAATAATTCGGTGTACCTAAATTCTTTTCAGACTAATCCTATTTCCGCTAGAATGTCGGGTGGAAGTACACAATGTTATTTTTGCGTTACATATATAAAAGCCACCTTAGTTACTGAAGATTTAGTGTTTCCTGGAGTGACTGACCTATTCTACTTTTGGATACTAAGTCGCCTATGACAAACAGAATTAAAATTAGTTTAACATTATAAGTAGAAAGACAACTTACCTAACTGAACAAATTCCGGAGAAAATTCTCGCGCTATGGCTCTTGCCTCTTCAGACAGTTTACGTGCTTCGCGTGCACGTGCATCAGCTGTGCCAGCTACTGTCCGTGCAGTTTGAGCTCTAAAAATTTTAAAACAGTTTGACGGAACATTTTCAGTGTTCTTTAAAGAAAGAACGTTTTTTAATGTGATAATTTTTGTAGAAAACAAACTGTCTACCGGAAAAAAATATAGTGAGCTACCGAGTTTCACGATTAAATGACTATTAAAAGACATTCTCAAATTATGTACTCAAACAATGCAACCTATTTCTGGTACATGTTGGCGAGTGAAAAAAAACTTCTATTAGATAACCAAAAATATTTTCAGGCTATGAATAATTGGCTTGTGAATATTCAACTCAGTCACTGTCAGATGAGGTGAGAACGTTCTAGAAACAGTCTTTAATAAAAAACTAGTCATAATAGCGGAAAAGCTGTGTATTGTTTCATTTTAGGACAACTCTGTTGTCGATTGTAAGTCATTTTGCTACATAAACCATTAAAGTGATGACGAATCACTTCCGCAGAGAGAAATAACAACTTTTGGTTAGCATTCCAGGAGTTTCTTTAACGGAATACTAACAAAAATAGAAGAATAAACACTTGCACATAAATTACGAAAGTCGGTTATTATTATATTTGAAGTAGTGGAAGTTGTTTTAATGAAGCACTGTTAATCTACTCACTATAAAAGTGAATGTAACACTCTTAGGGTTATTCATTACCTATGACTTCTAAGCTAGAACTTCTCGTTTAATGAAGTTCATAGAGCATCATCAAAAATGAAAACATTAACTTTTAACCTTCCTGTAGATCAAATCTCCATTTGTTCATTTTCGCTTTTTTGACTAAAGTAGATAAATGTTGTGCTGCCTTGAAAACATTTTACTGCACTGTGTGAATTAACAGAGTTCCTGAAAACTTAAGGTTAATGGTTTCAGTGTACAGTTCTGTCCTAAGTTTTATAACTACGAAGTAACTCGTCAAATCATAGTAATAACATCCATTGACTCCTAGCTTAGAAATAGGGAGTGAAGTAGTAGAGCGTGTTGACTACTTCACTTATGTGGGAAGTTGCATCAGCCAGTGCCATCAGGTTGATTGCTGACGAAGTCTCAGCACAGATACAGAAGGCTAGTTTCGCATATACCATTTTACGCCGTCTCTGGCGTAGACATGATATACATCTGGCTATCGACCAAAGGGCGTGTTTGCTGCTCAGTAGTCCGCTCCGTTCCTCTTTATGGCTGTGAGATCTGGCCATTGAGAATGGAAGATGTGAAAAGACTAGATGTCTTTGATCATAGGTGCCTGCGTTCTATCTTCTGTGTGAAGTGGTATAGTAGGGTAAGCAATATTGAGGTTAGGCGTCAGGTTCTAGGTAGAGAGGGGGAATCAATCGACGAGGCTATGAAGCTACATCGCCTGAGAGGGTTAGGGTATGTGTTACGCATTCTAGTCTAGTCATCGCCTTCCTCGACAATGGGTAATGTTAGCTGACATAGGGTCAGCTAGCGGCGGTCAAACGAAAACATGGCATTGGTCATTGAAATCCACGACAGTTAGTTTAAACAAGCCACGTAGGAAGGTGTAGACTTCCTGGTTGGGATCGTCAGGACGGTGAACACCAGTGGCTGGAGAGAATTGGTGATATGGCTCAAAATCGTTCTCAGTGGCGTAGATTTGTCCACTATAAAACTATATTTTATTCGATATTACTATTCTGCTTCTGCCTCATATCTCTGTGTACTGCCTCTATTTTGCATTTCATTTTACTTTCTTCTCTTGCTTTGTGTGCTGGGTGCAGTATGGCATCTCGAACTGCTGCATGTCGATCCAAAGTTCTATGTTGAAACCAGTCGGTTACTCAGTAATAACATCCTCGGAATTTTCAATATTCATTGGATATGTTTATTTCGGTGAGACGACGAAATTATCATTAGGAAAATTACGTTTTTATTTGACTACTTTCATTACTGTTAAAAACAAAAAGTGGTTGAGTTCGTGCACAGTAAATGAACATTGACTGCTTCCAGTACTTTGTTACTAGCAGTCAAGGTGTACACACACATTTCTGAAGAAACACACTCGACTTCATGAAGTGATGCTGATGTAATAAATTCACTTATGCTTATAAATTCTTTGGTTTTGTACATATTACTCTAAACAGCAGAAACGTAGTAATTATCTAGACTTAGGGGCAGATAGAATATGGTTTTTGTAAACGTAGCACTGTTTAGAAGTATAATTCAGGGAGCTAATTCAGTATCCTAAAGAGGAGGTAGAATTTCCATTATCAGACGACAATAAGAGACAATGAAAAAACATCATTGTAACAGATTATAATTTTTTTATAGCTATCATAATGTTTCCCCTAAAAAGCACCCTGTACTATACGTGTACGATATAAATTAATCTTCAAATAATTGCCAACCTCTTCAAGGATATTTCTGAGGTGCAAATATTTCCTCATTTGAACAACAATGTTTCGTGTTTTCGAAAACAATATTAAAAAGATCTATGGAAAAAAGTTCAGCATACGAAATATTACGTTGAATTCCCCTATAACTTTAACCACTACTTTAATTTCATTTTATTGAGAATGAGTTTCGAAAATAAATAAATAAATTTTATGTATGCAGGTGAAAGGATTGTACTAATTACCTTTGATAAGCTGATTCGTAGGAACTTTCCTGAGCCTTCTTTGCTGCATCTTCAGCATTTTTTACTGCTTCTTCAATAGCATCACGTAACTTCGTATGCCGAAGCATAAAGAGTTTGCTTTTTCTATTTAGGGCCTGGACAAGTATGTTCTCTTTGTATCTGCCTTCTTCCTTTGTTCCATCTGTACGATAAGTTACTCCATATCCATCCTTTTTATTATTAAACCACTCTCCAGCATACTTTAGTCCATCAGAACGTTCAGCAACACCGTATCCCGAACGTCTATCTTCATTCCACTGACCACTGTAGTTCAGTTACATTTGGTCCTAATGGCTCGTCCATAAATTCATGAAGACCTTGTCCGCCATTTCCCAAACCTTTTACGTCACCACGACCAAATGAATTTGTTGTTATCTGGCTTGAAGTACTGATATTTGATCTTAAGGATCCGCCTGGTCGACGCCCCGACTATGAAATAAACCACCACCTCCACTTCCACATGTGGAAAATGTACCAACTGTCCTTCCTCCTACCATAGATAGGTCACCAGTTGATTTCTGCTTCCGCAATTTCCGAAAAATACCTCGTTTAAAAAGTGACTTTTTCTCTGTTGTTGGTGTAGCACTTCGATAACCTGAAGAACTGCTTCTAGAAGTATTTGATTGTGAGGATGGTAAAGGACAAGATGTGGAGCGCAGCACAAATCCACTTCTGCGTTCATCTGGACGTCCTCTCTCTCCACTATTCCTAACATCACCACCACTTCCTCCTCCAGAGCTATTTGTACCCCTCCATCCACGCTCTGAATCTGTGCCTGATGGTAAACTATTTTGTGACTGGGCTGCACGTACTGTACGGTTAAATTCAGCTGCCAGAGCATAGGGTGCTGAACGTCGAACACCAAGGCCTTGACGCATACCTTTAGACCATGCTCCAGCATATATACCTGTTAAGCAAAGTAAAAAAAAATTCACGAATAGGCTTTGTGTTAGCTGACGATCGGAAATTGTCAGCTGATAAAATGAATTACACTGTGGATCACATATAATGAGATATTATATAAGTATCTGAAAACTCAATTAGTAGTTTTCAGTCGCACACTGGTGCCTACAAATTACACCATGAGAAGCAAAATCTAAAATTTGCTTACCTTAGAAAATGTTAACTCTTGAAACACCTGTCTTTTTTGTACTTTTACTCTTGCTACTCATTAGTAGTTAAAGGTGTTTTTTTGGTTAATATGGATTACATCTTCCAGTCAGTGTACCTTGAATCCTGAATATTGAATATCGAATTACAATTAACTCCGTTTGTCCTGTATAAAATGAAATCGCTAGTATCTTAATTACAGCTACTTAAACCAAACGCAAGTGTATAAAAAATTAAAATGCATCTTCATTCCTATTCTCTTATCTTCTACGTAAATAAATAATTCCGTTTTCGTGAAGAAAGACTAGGAGAGTAAGGGAAATCATCAAGTGAATATTTGTTAACACAAGTGAAATATTTTGTGTAGGCTGTTTACACACGAATACATTTATATTAATTACCCTTAAACTCTGGTATTAGTAACAATAACTAAGGCGATAGTTCATTCCTGAAACAAGTTTGCTTAGAAATAGAAATTGACATTTCTAACATAACCTTTCCTTCTTCGTAAACTTTAGTTAAAGGCTTCATTTTAAGGACAAACGCATACAAATGCGTACTTGCTAAAAGAAGATTGGTGATTACTGTTTCAACTGTTCAACAAAAGTGTCGTTTGCATAGACAAACAAAACATGCGTAACCACCAACCCCTACACATACACAAATAACTAAATGTAAATCAATTCATAAAAGTTGTGTTCTTCTATTTCCAACTGTTTTATCATACTTTGTTTCTTGCTAATGGAAAACCAAAACTAGTTTTTAGAGTGTTATTTTTAATTGAAAACATATACATTCGGAACATAATTTCACATTGGTGAGATAATCCATTCCTGTTCAGTTAAATACTAGTTTATACTGTAACCAGTGGAATGGATCTTTTATGAATGGTTCTCCAAAAATGTTACTATTCACATGATAAAGATCGAAATCTTCACTCCAAGGCATATTTTTCCCATTGTTTTGGATTCGGAATGGGAAATAAGTCTCCGAGCTTTGAAGTTTCAGCAGCGGCTGCCAGTCTCACGCGTAGACTTTCCTCTTTTCCTGTCCTACTGTTGGCTAGCAAACCTCAGGTGAGGTTTAAGAAAGCAACGGTCAGGAATTAAACCCGAAATTGCAGTGTGATCTGTTAAACGTTTCACCACTAAACTTCCAAAACACACTCCAACACATCATTTACAATTTGGAACAAGACATATAAGCGAACAATACTGTTTTCAATTAGATCTTGATCAGGCTTTACTCTAATTTACATAGATTTATATACAAACATTTTTACCCAATGACGGTGATTTTGTGGATCAGATAATAGTAATAAGACTGTGGTAAATGTTTTGAACGTAGTAAATAACGATGATTATAATGATAACAGAATATTGATAATAAGGTTTATGCAGGTGGCGATAAGAATAACTAAGGTACTAATTGTGCGTCGGTGGCACAGCTGTTAGGACGCTCGTCGACCATGCACGTGGTCCAGGGTTCGATCCCCGGCCACATACGCACTCCTTTATCTCGCTAAGCTAGAAATAATGCTGGTAAAGAGGGAAGGTTGGCCATGAGGCTAGCAATCCCATCCTGTAAAAATAAACACTGCTACAGAAACTTCAAGCCACTGGCTTGAAGCCCTATATTCCACTGGGAACGTGAAGGAAAAAAAGGTACTAATATGTGTATATGTAGACAATTCAATAAATAAATTAGGTCAAGTCTTAAAAGTTACGTAATACTAAATGTAGGTGAAGTGGACAGATAATCACAGTTTAAATAAATATCATAAAAATACTAAGGAGATGGAAAATAAGAAAGGGTGGTAGGGTTTTGAATAGAATTCACCTAGGCCAAGGGAGAGACAAAAGTAGAACAAACTTCTTTTGTATGCAAAGACTAGGATTGTTCTCTCGAATGCCCATAGCTTCGGCTAAGTGTAAAAGACAGGTTCTAATTCCGCTTGAAAGACTCGATGGAGTGCAATAGATAACTTTGAAGGCACTATTTTTGTCCATTTGGTGACTACTATCAATCAAATGAGCCGAAATAGAACTTCGAATGGATTTTATTTGACCTTTTCCGAACCATGCAGGAAGATGCCCATTAATGCGTTTGTTAAGCTGTCTAGTTGTTTGCCCTATATACAATTTACCATTCAAGAAGGAAACACGTAAATGACTTCAAGAAGAAAAGACTCAATATCAACTCCAGTTTGACAATTTTTATAATTTTTCTGATCAAAAGATTGATCAATACTGTATATATATTTTTAACCATCCTCATGACACTTTTAACTACAAAGCACAGGGTATTCATTTTTTATTTTTTTATTATTTTTGATTACAGCTTCATTCCACACCGTATCTTTGGTACAAGTGTGGAATTTTCAGCATGTAATATCGGTAGCCTTAATTTTGCAGGCCGACTAATTGACATCAGGTGTGTGTCGGCAGAGGACCGAACCCCGGACCATTAGCATGGTCGGAAATAGTCCTAACCGCTGTGCCCCCTACCCACATGTTAACACAACAGGACATTGTATTTATGTTGCGTAATTTTAGAAAGTCAAGTAGAAACCACTCATTGTTTCTAAAAATATATTCCACACTACAGCAATAAAATTACTCCATACTTCATGCACTTTCAGTTACAGCCAACCAATAAAAACTGTAGCGCTCAATATATGTATAAAACATGGGCACTATGATAGCATACAATTCCATATAGATTTGTTTATTGGCCCGGAGTAAATACTGTTTTCTTCTACTGAATATTCTACAAGGTGTTCTAAGTAGGAAAATAATTTATTAAAACTTACTCAGTACGCAACGCTTGTGTTACGTGGTTTCTCAGTAATATATTGCGTGTGAATGAGATTCCCATTTAAAGTGATATCAACTGGGGCTACAATGAAAGTGTTATGCAGTAAGTCTCTTTTTTTGTGTGTCTGTGTGACACCAGGAAGTGGAATCACATAGTTTGCGGAGCCTAGTAGCTTAGTGCTTGTGGAGTGAGTTACATCGGCTAGTGTTCTAGGAACATGATTTTTCATGCTCGAGGACTTCTCCCAGTATGGCTAAGTAAGGGTGTAGTAAAAACCATCAACAGTTCGATATTGGACCATCTGGTGGTCCAAACCGGCCACAAAGCCAGCAAGGAAGAATCCTTCCCTATCATTTACCAGGTGCCAAATATATTTCCAAAACCATCGAAGCACCTCATGCTCCAAACAACAGAGGCTATTGCAGTTCGCCTCAAACAACCAGTGCTCTGTGTTCAAAAGAAGCAAGTCCATCCCCTACTACTGCCTTGGCCTTCAGTAGAGACTATAAATTCATGAATTTGTAATATTATGTTTCCTAATTTTTCTGACATTCAGCCTATTTTATTTTGATGCTATTGAGCTGTAATCTTTCAATATTATTGATTCGATGTTATTTAAACAACATTAATGTTGTTCATAACACTAATTCATTCATTCATTCGCTATAATGTATATATAACTGTAGAGCCTGATGATGAAGTTATCGAAAAGAGTAATCTTTGTTCAGTAACCATACCTGATTATGCTAAATGTGACAATAAGCATAAAAAGGTGTCAGTAAATACGACAGCTCGTTTTCATAAGATAATTATGTAATTATTCAGTGTTTATAACCGAATATTTGGCCTTTTAGTTACTTCAGCATAAGCATTCTGAATGAGGCGTAATGTCTCTTGAACTTCCTAATTTTGTTGGTGTTCACTTAAATTAAGTCACCTGAATTCTGTCATTTCTTTCTAATATCATTTGATCACCCCTTTATTCTCTATCAAATAAAATCGAACTATAATGTAAGTTTTTATTTATAGTGATGTTTAATTTTTAATGTAGATCTAAGGAGGGATCGTTTAAAATTTTATGTAATTAAAATTTACTCTGTGATGTCGCTGAACTGTCAAACTGTTATAGGATGGCTGAAATTTCGGTAATTGAAAGAAACCAACAATTAGACGAAATAATTAACTTCGGTAACTTTACCATAATTTTACAGCTGTATAGAATGCGACTAAATGGTTGAATAACAAAGTGTTTGTCTAGAAAAGTAGCTGTTGTTGACACGTATATCACGCGAAGTTACCGTTTTACGATTATAAAAATCCCCTGAAGTTTAATGAAATGAAGTGTCTGCATGTTTTTATTATTTCCCTATCTGACATTCTTTTGTGGTGAAATTTACTGAAAATCTAATGAACTAGAGTTAGTGATTGAAAATTGTGCCTATTTCTAAACAAAATATTCAAATTAAATAAGGATGTGGAAACAGATATCCATATATACCATTTTTCTAAACCAGATAACATCAAAAATATGTCATTGTTTTCATTAACAAAGAAAATCCACAAGATAAGTAGAGCACAAAGGTATAGAAATGTTTCCGATTGTTTTGATCTAAAACAATAGGATCAATAGAAAATTGCATCATGACCTACTACTACTATACAGGGGATAAAGCTGTTTAACCATTAAATTAACTTCAGTGACAAAGGGAAATATGCATATTTTATACTGCCTGCTTGAATTACTGGGGTACCAGAATTTCCATCATTAGATTACGTCTGTGGGTTAAGAAACATGCTCGTGCACATTTTTAATTTGTTTTCAACCTAACGCTGCTCATTTCTCGAGGACCGAAAAAAAATACTATACAGGGCTATTTTATTCTTCACATCCAACAACATTGTGTCACAAAATGTACTGGAGACGGCTGTTTTACCTGAAACTCCTGGACTAAGGAAAAACATTGTGCAATAAACTACGCT